TGCTTTCTGTGCATCTGATTAACAAACTAAAAAATGTAGCACAGTTACTTTCCATTGCCTGTGCTTCAAAGAAAGAGTCATCTATAAACAAAAAACATTTCTGACTATAGTCTACAATAAATCTCCTTTGCAGTGATTTACTGTAATACATTCTTGGGTATTAATCAGAACTATGGGTTACTTTTGAGCTCTCCTACTAAGCCTATAAAACCTACACCACCCATTTTCAAAAGGACTTCCATAGCTGCTGAACGTAAGATGAAGGTAAGAGGCCATGAGATAAGGGTTAGTTCTGACATCCACTGTCCAATCCTAACAGCCCACCACCTGTACTGTCCACCCCTGTCAGTCTCACCTTCTTCCTGAGCTGGCTCATAACATCAGCCAGGGCCCAGCTGCCATCATACATGCCCTCCTTTTCAGTAAATACGAAGTCAGGGTTGAAATCAGCACTGCAGTTCTTCTGAAAGGCTTTCTGCTTGCGGCCCAGTACAATGGGCTCCTGCAAAAAGGTGAGGTTAAGTGTGACTACGGGGCTGGGGTAGAGCAACAGCAGAAGAAGAAAGGAGGGTGCCTGATGAGAGAAATCCACACCTGGGTTCATGGATCCTGAGAAACAGTTTGCCTAACAAGGCCCTAGATTTAACCCTCAGCACCACAAAAATACAAGAGAAACACACAAGGTGAAATGGACAGATAAAAGGAACTGATCAGTTTCCAACTGTCCTGGCAGGTTTTTAATATACCTTCTCAGTGGGCAGCCCATAGGCCATGAAGACCAAAACTGAGAAAAGTCTATAGGAAATCTGATTAACAAGCTTCACTCCAACAAGCATGGAGAAAACACTGCACCTCACAGGGCACAGTGGACCACACCAGGAATCACTTGGAACACTAAGGCAGAGAACAAGTTCAAGGCCAGACTCAATGGCTGGGTAAGATGGCTCAAGAGGGCAAAGCACTTGGCACGAGCCTTATGAACTAAAGTTCTATCCCTGGATCACACGTAAAAGTGGAAAGAAAGAACCAACTCCACAAAGTTATCCTCTGACCTCCACAAGTACATGTACACTCCATAATTATAATAAATTTTTAAAACTTTCAAAAATTTTAAAAAATTTAAATTTTTTTTTGGTCTTTTTTGAGGCAGGGCCTCCCTCTGGCCCCAGCTGGCCTGCAACTTGCTATGTAGATCAAGCTGGCCTTGAACTCACAGAGATCCCCGCCTGCCTCAAATTTACTTATTTTTATTTTGTATATGAATGTTTTGCCTGCATATATGTACATCACCATGTACATGTTATCCCCATGGAGGCCAGAAGAAAGCATTGGATCCCCGGTTACAGATGGTTGTTAGCCACCATGTGGGTTCTAGAAACTGAACCCAGCCAGGTGTAGTGACGCACATCTTCAACCCCAGCACTTGAGAGGCAGGTGGATCTCTGTGAGACGAAGGCCAGCCTGATCTACATAGCTAGTTCCAGGGCAGGTGGAACTATAGGGAGACCATGTCTCAATCCCACCCCCACCCCCACCCCTGCAAAAAAATAATCTTAAAAAAAAAAAAAATTCCATGGGCTGGGCATGTACCTTAATGATAAAGCACTTTCCTAGCAAGGTTAGGCCCCAGATTCAATCCCCACCACTGCCAGAAAAAAAGACTAATTTCATAATATATACACATATCAAATCACCTCATCATATAGCTTATATTTACAAAATTATATGAATCATACCTCAATAAAGCTGAGAGGGGAAAAAAAGGAGTAACTATTGAATACCTGAATATACCACGGTCCCATGCTGGGTGCTAAGAATGACAGCCATCTGGACACAGTCCCTGCTCTCACTCTCAAGGAGCTGAAAAAGTAATGGCTAATCATTAAATCATTACGTTTTTTTTTTCTTTTAAAGTCAGGGTCTCACTACATAGTCCAGGCTGGCTTCAAATATGTCAACGACCTACTTCAGGCTTCTAAGTGCTGGGATTTCAGGGCTGTGCCAGGGCACCCAGTGCAATCATTGCTGTGCATGAAGGTGGGAATGAGTACACTAGTGTGTTCTATATCATACATGCATATATGGAAGTATATGCACAGAGATACAAATGCACGTAGAGAGGACATTCCTTCTATTTTATAGAATGAAGTGTTACCTGATTCCAGGATCACAAAATTGGCTCACTCAATACCTATAGCCTCTAACTCAGGACACTCCTGCCTCAGACTCCTGAGTGCTAGAATTATAGCTACCACAACCCTGTCTCATTTAAGATCTTTTTTGAGGGGCTAGAGAGATGGCTCAGTGGTTAAGAGCCCTGGTTGCTATTCCAGAGGACCTGGGTTTGAATCCCAGTACCTACATGGTGGCAACAACCGTCTGCAACTCCAGTTCCAGGGGATCCAACACCCTCTTTTGACCTCCGAGGGCATTGCATGACATGGGTGCACTTACACACATGCAGGCAATACACTCATACACGTAAAATAAAAATAAGTTTAAAAAAAGATTTAGGCTGGAGAGATGGCTCAGCAGTTAAGAGCACTAATTGCTCTTGCAGGGGACCCAGGTTTGATTCCCAGCACCCATACTGGGGTTAAGAACCGTTCTTAACTCCAGTTCCAGGGAAATCCAACACCCTCTTCTGACCTCCACAGCACTGCACGACACAGTGCACTCATGTACATGCAGACAATACATTCATACACATAAAATAAAAATAATAAAATATTTATTTAAGCCGGGCGTGGTGGTACATGCCTGTAGTCCCAGCAACATGGGGGCAGAGGCAGGCAGATCTCTGTGAGTTCAAGTCCAGCCTGGTCTACATAGTGAGTTCCAGGACGGCTGGGGCTACAGGGAGACCCTGTCTCAAAAAGACAAAAAAAAAAAAAAAAAAAAAAAAAAAAAAAAAAAACTTTTTGAATAAGGATCTCCCTGTAGTCCCAGCCAGCCTAGAACTTATGTAGACCAGGCTAGTCATGATCTCAGAGCTGGGATTAAAGGTTTGGGCCATTATGTACAGCAATAGTATATACACTTATAATCCAGCACTGGAGAGGCAGAGACAGACATATCCCTAAGGGCTCCCTGGCCAGTCAGCCCAGCCTAACTGGTGAGCGCCAGGTCAATGAGATACCTTGTCTTAAAACAAGGTGGACAGTTCCTGAGGAATAACACCCAATGTTAACCTTTGACCTTCACATGTACACTCACATGTGCACATGCGTCTACATAACACACACCTACATACACTGTACCTACAGAAGCACACACTTGCGTGCGTGCATGTGTATGTGTGTGTGTGTATGCACACACAGACTCACAGCTAAGGATGGAGATGCACACATGTAATCCCAGCACTGGGGTGGATTCCTGGGACTCGCTGGTGAGTTCCTGTCCAATGAGGGACCCAGTCTTAAAAGAAGGTAGACAGTCCCAGTAACAAACCCAAGGTTGTCTCCTGGCCTCCACACATGTATGTAACACACACATATAAATGCAATAAAGCACACACACACACACACACACACACACACACACACACGCACACATCAGAAGTTCAAGTCCAGTAGGGACTACATGGCAAGTTTGACCAGTCTAACTTGGTAAGAGACTCTGACTCACCAATGACAAAAGTCTAGATATAGATTCATAAGAAGTCTCTTATCAAGACTTTGGAGGAGTTACTGCATCTCCACTTTGTAGAGGGAATAGTAGGGCACAGGTTAAGTATCTTATGAGAGATCACCTGGTAAGTGGCAGGAGGGGAAAAAAGTGATATTCTAACCTAGTCACTTAGTTTCCTGGTCAAAGCCCTGGACCCCTATTTAAAATGCATCATTCCAACAACAGATAACAGAAAACTGCTGTACTATACAGTACAAAGGGACATGGATTAATTATTTGGGGTGAAGTCTAAGGAGTCAGGAAAGTTTTCCAGATTGAAGAATGAATAGCACAGAAGCTAGAGCTGACTAAATCATCAAGACAGGGTGGAAGGAAATGTTTCAGGCAGTGAAACATAAAGAGCAGAAGGCCCTGAGCAGTCAAAGAAAAAGGTTTCCGGCCGGAGAGATGGCTCAACAGTTAAGAGCACTGATTGCTCTTACAGAGGACCCGGGTTCGATTCCCAGCACCCACAGGGCACCCACATCCATAACTCCAATTCCAGGGGATCCGACACCCTCTTCCGTCCTCCGTGGGCATTGCACGACACGGGTGCACTTACATACAGGCAGGCAATACGTGCATACACATCAAATAAATTTTTTAAAAAGGAACAGCTTCTAAGGATTGAAGTGGGACTTCAGTGCTGTCATGACAGAAGGTCTGTGAGAGTCGAGTGGAAAGGCCAGAGCCTGAAGGACTCTGAAGGCTGCAGGGGTGGGAGCCAGGGACAGTCCCCGTGGGGTTGCATGATGGAAAGATGACTGCTGAGAGGTGGGGGACACACTGGAGGACAGGGTAAAGATGGCAGATGTCCAGGTGTGACATGGCAGTGGGATAAACAGAGGACAGTGAGGATGGACAGCAGGCAGAGGACTTGGTCAGACTCCTGAGCTGGCCTGCAGGGCACTGGACGGGTGTGAAGGACCAAGTCATGGAGAAGGAGCCCCAGACGCTCCATCTTGGAATGGATGGAGAGAAACCGGACTGCAGCGGCCAGGACCACCCGAACGGCACTATCGGGCCAACAGAGGACAGCGCCAAGAGGCGACACCGCCCAGAGGCGAGTACGTCCGTCACGCTCCCAGGATCCCACCGGAGACAGCCGCTCAGGCTGCTCCCCCAACGCCGGACTCCACGATCGAGGTCGTGCGGGGAGCAGGAGCAGGGACCCATGCCCAGCCCCCCGCGGCGGCTGGCGTCCCGCCGACCCCGCCCGCCCCGTCCCGCCGGCTCCCACCTCCTCCTCCCCGTCTTCGGAGTCCGACTCGGGCTCCACCGGCACCTCGTCATCTTCACCGATGGTCCCTACGAGACCCAGCTTCGCCAGCATGGTGAGACTGAAGCCACTTCCGGAACCGAGCACCGCGAGTGAACAGAACCTGCCTCTGCCTCAGCCCGCCTCGTCATCAGTGCGCATGCGTATACGTCACTTCCGCTCCGAGCAGCGCCTCCGCGCCGCCCTTCTGGAGCTGGGCGTGGTTCCGTGTGACGAAACCAGGGGGGCGGAACTCTAGTCCAGTCACGAAACCAGGCTGTCATTTTTCAGACGGAAAGGGAAGGTTCCGAGTGTGGATGCGTGCGGGAAATCTAAATTTGTCCACATTTATGAACGAAAAGTTGTGGCGAGGTCGGCTCCATGGGTCACGGCGCTTGCCGCCAAACCTGACAACCTGAGTTCAATCCCCCGGCCCACACGTTGAAAAGAGAGAACTGACCACAAAGTTGCCCTCCGACTTCCACACGTGTGCGGTGACACACCCACCTCTCCTCACTCTCGATAACAATAATAAATACTAAGTTTTTAAAGTTTAAAAATGTGCCCAGTCGTAGTGGCGCACGCCTTTAATGCACTCAGGAGGCAGAGACAGGCGCGGCTCTGAGTTCGAAGTCAAGCCTAGTCTACATAGCAAGCACCATAGGGCTACCTAGTGAGTTCCTGTCCAAAAATAAAGGGCTGGAGAGATGGCTTGGCCGTTAAGAGCACTGTCTGCTCCCACACAGGACCTAGATTCGATTCCCAGTACCCACATGGCGGCTAACAACCTTCTGTAACTCCAGTTCCAGGGGATCCAACGCCCTCGTCTGACTTAAGTGGGCATTGCATGACAGGGTGCACTACATTCATACACATAAGATAAACACACACACACACACACACACACACACACACACACACACAGAAAATACAACAAAGAGCAGTGATTGTCTCTGGGTGGACAACATATGCCTTTTTTTTTTTTTTTTTTTTTGTCTTTTTGAGACGGGGTCTCCCTGTAGCCCCAGCTGTCCTGGAACTCACTATGCAGATCAGGCTGGCCTCGAACTTACAGAGATCTGCCTGCCTCTGCCTCCTGAGAGGGAAACCATACCTGGCCCATATATATGCACTTTCTTTTTTATGATTATTTTTTCATATGTTTTTTTTTTCCTGCTGTAGTATCTCACCGGGTAGCCCAGGCAGGCCTCGAACTCAAGATCCTCCTGCATCAATCTCCTGAGTGTTAGGCTTACATGTGTGAGCCACCATGCCCAGCCTGTGCTCAGCTTTCTGAGGACCCACCAGACTTCACAGGGACCATTCCTCTTTACATTCCTGCCAATGCTGATATGTCTAATTTCTCCATAGCCTCTCCAATGATTATTTTCAGATGATAGTCTTAGAAGATGTGTGTGTGTGTGTGTGTGTGTGTGTGTGTGTGTGTGTTCATGCAGGCACATGTGGACAATAGAGAACATCATGTTTTCCTCCATCGCTCTCTGCCTTATTTCCTTGGCATAGGCTTTCCCTCTAGACTGGGCTGATCAGTCAGGATTCACCTGTTTCTACTCCCATGCTGGAGTTACAGGCTCATGCAGGTTTGCCCAGATCTTTGCGTGGGTGCTGGTGATTCAAACTCAAGCCCAAATGTTTGCTTGGCAAGCACTCTAACCCACTGGACCTCTCCTCAGCCATCAGATAACTTTAAATGGTGGTGAGTTTCAGAACCCTGGCTTTAGATGCCAGGACTTATTAATAAACAGTAGATAACAATATTGAGAGAGACTCTGTAGATATTTCTTCATATTTTATGTCTATCAGCAGGTGCAAACAGTGCTGGGCCTTGAAAATCAGAGTAAGAATTTTGATTTTTAGCCTAAAAACAAACTTAAATGAATAAGTAGAACTTAAGAGAACAAATGCCCTAATTTATTAACAGTACCCATTATTAACCATCTCGATTCTTACCAATTTTGTTCTTTTAGTTCATTGATATTCTTGTATGTGGGTTTCTGTGTACCACGTAGGTGATTCCTAGACATAGCAAAGAATGAATCAAATGGTTTGTGTCATTTTGGGTGTGCTCATGTTCATGTATGTGTGCATGTTCACATGTGTGTGCATGCATGTGGAGGCCAAAGGTGGACATTGAATGTCTTCCTCAGTTGCTCTCCACCTTATTTTTTTAAATTTTTAAATTATTTTTATTTTATGTGTATGCGTGTATTGCCCACATGTAGGTATGTGCACCCGTGTCGTGCAGTGCCCACGGAGGTCAGAAGAGGCTGTTGAATCCCCTGGGACTGGAGTTGCAGACAGTTGTTAGCTGCCATATGGGTGCTGGGATTCGAACTCAGATCTTCTGAAGAACAACCAGTGTTCTTAACCACTGCCATCTCTCCAGCCTCCCACCTTATTGTTTTAAAAAAGATGTTATTTATTTAAATTTTATGTGTATGAGTGTTTTGACTGCATTTATGTAAGTGTGCCATGTACATGCCTGGTGTTGATGCAGGCCAGAAGTGGAAGTCAGATTCCTTGGAACCAGAGTTGCTGTTAGTCCCCATGTGTGTACTGAGAACTGAACCCAGGTCCTCTGGAAGAGTAGTCTCTCCAGACTGATGAGCATCCTCTCCAGCCCCTTCACCTTATTTTTTGAGGCAGGATCTCACAGTGAACTGGAGTTCACTAATTTGGCCAGATTGACTGGCCAGTAAGTTACAGGGATCTGCCTGTCTGCTGTGCCTAGCTTTTATGTGGGTGATTATACCTATGGATTCTTAGTAAAAGGTGTTGAGAGCACTTCACCAAGTTCCCTCTGGCTTTCAGTTTTCCTTGGCTCTTTGTTTAAACTCCAGGTCTCTTCTGCACAGTTGTCCACAGTCAGGACGAACGCTTCTAAAGAACAGAGCTTATCCTTTTAGTGAGAGATTGGCTGGAATTTCTTATTGTCCAGTGTGGGTGAGAGGCACCAGCTGGCAGAAGAATCCCAAGACTAAGAGCAAAAGTGAAAGGGTCTCCTGAGGTCAGGCCCACAGCCTGCACGCCATCAGGATTGGCTGTATTGATAGAAAGCAGATGCCACCCTTAATTCAGCTCCCCACCTTGCCCGAAGTCTTAATGAGGGTCCCCTTCTGAAACTTCTCAAAAGGAATCATTCTTCAGCTTTGCTTAGGAATGTTCTGAAGACCCATATGTCCCCCACTCAATGTAAACCAGAAAGTGAATGCAGTATAGCCTCTGGGTTCAAATTTCAGTTCCTCCTCTCTCTCACTAGCTATCTGAACCCTTAGTTTTCCTTCTCTGTAACATGAATATAACAAAAGAACCACCACATTGATTTTCCGAGGAGTCACTGAACAGTGAGGCAATGTGAGTAAAAGCACTTATCTTGGTGCCCAGCAGATGCTACAAACAACTGGCCATTATGCTCTTATATGTTACTTGGGGAAGTAATATTTGCAGTATCTTCTGGGCCTTGAATCTCAGCACACTTTATGTTTATGTAATGCACATATGTTTCCTAGGAACTGTATTCACACATTTCCTGCTGCATTTGGAATTACTGTTTCTGCTCTTTCCGTGTTTCCTCTTTGCATTGGTCTGGACAAACTCGTTCCTTGGTGGAAGCCAGAAGCTTCCTCCAGAGGAAGTGCTCCAAGCAGGATCTGGGCCTGCAGAGCAACTGTGGTTTCTTTCCCAGGACATAGAGGAGAGGGGATGGGAAGGAATCACAGGGTATTTCCTTTTCTATTTGTAAACGTTGACTGTGAATATCTGGTTATCAAATTATTCACTTACTTTAACTGAGGACATAAAATCACTATTACAAATGCATTAAACAACACATTAAGATGACTATAGTACAGAAAGATAATTACAGGAGGAAAGTACGTCAGAAAGGAACACATTTGGTATGATTCTATCAATAAATGATCAAGACAAGCACAAACAGCCAGACTATAATGAAAAGGAAATCTGAACACAGTTTCGGGATTGGTTGTCACTGAGAGGGAGGGAAGAGAGAGAATCTATGAAGACCACACATGAAATTCCCAAGGAAATGCCATCTTCATTTTTCTTTAGTGGGGCAGTGCAATACAGATGTATTCATCATATCTGGATTATTCTTTATTGAAAAAATTTGTTTAAACAAAAAGAATATAGCATGCATCATATTCCCCAGAGGAAACTGCCTGTGATTTGCTAATGGAAGACAGTGGAAAACAGATTTAAACCTAAGAAAGCTTCTTATAGCATTCCCTGTGCTTACAATACCTTCAGTTAGATAATTTCCAATTATACTCTTGTTTTCATGTTTGCATTAAATCTTTAGAGCCTCCATTTGTGTATTTAAAATTTTAAGGTTTTGGCATTGAAATGAGTTAGAAAATGGGCATTCTGCATTAGCATCTGCCCATTTGCAGCATTTTAAATTAAAAAAAATATGAGGGGGTGGGGTGTGGTGGCACACACCTTAAATTCCAGCACTCTCAGAAGATAGAGGCAGAAGGAGCTCTGAGTTCAAGGTCAGCCTTGAACCTTTTTAATCTCTTTTTATCTCTTTTGTCCTTCTGTGCTTCTGGGGTCTTCACAGAAGCTGCCTGGATGAAAAAAAATACAGGCCACAAGCTCACAGACTAAGACCCCCACTGGGGAATTATCTGATTAGCCACTGTAACGAGGCCTTGCTTACAAGGCCAGGGATCCCTGAGCTCCTGCTTCAGGGCTGGCTCCCACTGAATTTCCTTCCCTTGTTGTGGAGTTCCCTCCACAGCTTCCCATTGGAATCCTGGGGCTCACAACTACTTGATGTTTTTCATTTCATGGAAAGCCAAGTCAGCCATTCACGTAGGAGCTTGGGGGCCCAAATACTTCTGTCATCATTGATTTAATCCTTTGTTTTTTAATTTCCTCGCTTTGTACCTGAAAACATGTCAAACACTTGGAAACGCAAGCAAACAAGTATTCCGTATCTACTCTAGGACACAGCTTTGCCCTTTCGCCAATGGGGCAGGTGTTTAGTACAGAGAGGTGTATTCAATAGTCATTCAATTAATGTTATGAATCGCCTATAAAAGGTTGTTTTCCAGTTTGCCTAGAAATTCAAGAAGATAGCATGGAAACCTAGGAGACACTGGGGAGGGAGTCACAGAACTCTTGCTTTATCCATTCTGAATGGCCCTGCCTGAGACATACCTCTATCCATAATCTTTGTGCAGCATCAGACAGAACTGGCTGAGTTAGGAAAGAAAGATTGTCTGATGGGCTTGTAGGTTTAAGAACACTTGGGAAACTTAAATTCCAGCTGCTCAGCCATGCCTTCTTTTATTTCTTATTTGGAAGAAAACTAACTAAAATATTTCCATCACCAGTAAAACTAGGAAGCTAGAAATTTCCAAAGTTCTGTCCCAATAAAATGAAGCTCCAGCAGGAAAGGAGTCCGAGCCCTTCTCATCTGACTGTTGTCTGCGGGTTGGGACATAGGATGAAGAGAGAAGAGCCCTCTGCTGGTGTACTCTGGTCTTGCTACTACCTAATGGTTCCCATTTCTTGAGTGTACCAGGCATGGGGAGCCCGCCAAGCTCCATTTTGTTTATTCTTTGCAGGTTTCCCAGGTCTTCAAGGCCCTGCTGGTCCCCCTGGAGCCCCAGGCATCTCCTTGCCCTCAGTCATAGCAGGACAGCCTGGCGGCCCTGGGCGGCCAGGCCTAGATGGAGAACGAGGTAAAAACAAGAAGCCCCAAATGGAAATTGTCATCTTACTTTGTCTGATGATTAAGGAGGTGCTGTATATAGTGCAGCCCTCATCCCTGTTACTGGACATGCATGGGCCTGCTTGACGTCAGTTTCTACCCTTTCATCAGGATGTGGGGACTACAACTGGCTGCATCTCCCGGGAAGTATTTGGGAAATCAGAGCACTGGGACAGATAGCAACAAAACCCCTGTACGAGAGAGTGGACTTCAGCTCCCCAAATCGCTAGGCCTTCAGCAGTAGCTATTTCCTACTCCCCTGCCCTTTATCCTCTTCCAATCTTATCCTCAGGCCGCCCAGGCAACCCTGGGCCTCCAGGTCCCCCCCCCCCGCCCCGGGCCATCCTCGGATCAAGGCGACCCTGGAGACCCTGGCTTCCCTGGAATTGCAGGCCTTCAAGGGCCCAAGGGAAACCAAGGGTTTCCAGGTTTCTCTGGCCTCCCTGGAGATCTAGGGCTGAAAGGTAAGTCTGTTCCGCTGGGTGCTGGGTGCATCTATCCCCACTGCACAGCCTTGTGCAGCCTTGGAAGGGAGCCAGTGGATAACGCTCTTCCTGCCTAGTCTCCCTCTCCCACCACCACGGCAACACCTGACTTGCTGTCCTTTGGATTTGCTAGGCATGAGAGGGGAGGCTGGCTTCATGGGGACTCCAGGCAAGGTTGGGCCACCAGGAGACCCAGGATTTCCTGGAATGAAAGTGAAGGCGGGGCCAAGAGGTGAGTTGAGAACAAGCTCTGGGCTGAGCCTGCCCTGAGGAGAGGATGGGTAAGGTAATTTTCTTTCAGAAGTCACCAAGACAGCAACTGGAACACCACACCTCCCACCCCAGGAGGTAGTTTCTCCACTTTGGAGATACCTCTACCCCCATCTACTCCCAGGACTGAAGGTCCCCCAGCTTTGCTACGGTGGATCCTGCCAGTTAGCACTCTCTGCATTACTTCTGCATTGGTAGCCATTGGGTTTGCACTCAGACCATTACCCCCACTGGCTCAGTTCAGAAAAGAAGCAACTTCTTCACCCTTCACCAGCAAAATTCCTAATTAGGCATCTAGAGCACCGGCAACCCCTGAGGGCTTATCCCGACTACGCCTTGCATCTGTTCACTTGGCATGTCCTCCATTGCTATGCCAAAGTCCTAACCAGCAGCATTTCTCATGCAGCGTCCTTCCTCCTCCCACAACAATCGTTTTTCCACAGGTGGGGACCAATAAAAACAAATCATACAGTCCATGACATAGACATGAACTATGGCCCACAAAACCCTGTGAGACACCGCCCTCTTCACCCTCCTGCCAGCCCTGTCCCTCTGCTGCTCGTTGGCCTCTTGCCCTTATCCTCTTGCGCTTTCTTCTCTCTCCTGCCAGTCTCCTTCTGCTTTCATGCCATATGTTGTGGGAGACAGGCTTGAGCCTAGAGTAGAAGTCCTTATGATTTCCTTACAGCAGCCTGTGGTAACGGCCCAGTGCTGGAGCCACGAGGAACACCTTGAGACAAACATTCCAGCAGGCAAATCATGAGACTGATACCTAGAGCTCGCCACTTCCCACCCTCCACCCTCTAGATTCTAAAATTGTCACTTCCAGATAAATGGTTGAGTAACAGCCTGGGTCACGTGACTTAACTGAACCCTACCATGCTAATAAGGCATCTGGCCCGCTATGCTGTGATAAGACGCTAAGCCTGTTATGCGATCGGACACAGCGCCTGGCAAGCCGAGGACCGATCGGGAGAGCGACCACAATATGTATGTGTGTACGTATGTATGTATGTATGTAACTCACAGAACATGATATTGTCCAGTTCTATCAGTTTTCCTGCACATGACATAATCTCACTTTTCTCTATGAGTGAAGAAAATTCCACTGTGTGTCTGTGCCATCGTTTCTTTGTCCACTCATGCGTTCCTGGGCATCTAGGCTCATTCTGTTTCTTGGCTATTGTCAGTACTACAGCTGTAAACATGGACGTGCAGGCAGCTCTGTGGTAGACTTGGATTCTTTTGGGTATATTCCCAGAAGTGCTATAGCTAAATTATTTGGCATTTCTATTTCTAGTCTTTTGAGGACTTTATTGATCTTCATAGTGTCTACAAGAGTCTACATTCCCATCAGTAGCATATACGCTTCCTGAACTGTTCTTGCCCCTCAACTCTAAGTGGCTGCTCCTTCTGATACTTCTGATGTATAAATGGTTTCAGCTTAACTGTCACTGGATATGAAAAGCCACTGACTGCTCTCTCAAGGAGACTCCTCCACCCATACCAGTCTGTGCTCCCTGCACTGTCATTCCACTACTCGTTTCTTTCACAGCCTTTCTCAAAACTTGCACAAAGGTTCATAATAATTGTCAAATTATTCATTGTTCCTCTTCATCACTAGGCCGTAATCTCCATAAAGGTCCATCACTATTTTAGTCTCACACCCCCCAGGACCCTGGCACATAGTAAGCATTTGTGTTCAATGAATTAGAAAGCAATTTAGTCTATTTATAACGTGGCTGATTTGAATGGGGCTCTTAGTCTGGGATGCCAACTGCATCTCTGGGGTTAACTACTTCTTTGCAGCATCCTTGGGCTTGTGTTCTGATCAGCATGTAAGTAAACTAACTACTCCTGCTTGAGTCAGGTCTCAGCCTGCTATACTTGCAGCAATTCCTAATTGCCTATCACCTACCAGGCTCCATCCTGGGCTATGCAAAGCCAGGATGACTATGATCGGTTCCTTGCCTTACCCTCAAAGACCTGCCAAGCCACTGGGTGGTAGATGGGGAAAGAGGGCCCTGTGTCAAGGGTGGTGTGAACTGTCCTCGACGCATCAAGTGGGAACTATGAACACAAGCAGGGCAGACAGGTGGTGATTGCTAGACAAACCAGAAGGCCACCAGTGCTTTTCCTCTGCCTCAGCCTGATTGTGTCATTTCCTCACCTGCCCCCAGGCTTTCCCGGCCCCCAGGGTGCTCCTGGACATACACCGATTGCTGAAGCTGTCCAGGTTCCCCCTGGATCCCTGGGCCTGCCAGGCATCGATGGTATCCCTGGTCTCACAGGGGAGCCTAGGATTCAAGGCTCTGTGGGTCTGCAAGGTAAGAATGACACCTGAGAAATGGGACTCCTTTAGGAAGCTGAAAGGCCTTGGTTGAGAGGCTGAAGCAATTGGCTTGGAACCACAGTCCCAAGAGCATGCCTTCAAGGATTATTTTCTCTATTTCTTTGCAAAGCTCCCGAACTCCTTGCCAGGGCAGGGAAAGGCCAGAAGGCCAACGGGGCAGTGGTTTTACTTGGCTTCAGAGAACATGTGAGTCCCTTCTCCAGACAGCTTGCCCTCTCAAGTGCTGCTCAGACATAGACAGGATGTGGTGATGGATAAGGGAAGAACACAAGACAGTGGAGAAGGCATGGGGAAGATGACAGGAAACCTGGTTTCTGAATCCTAGCTTTACCCCAACAAGGGAAACTCACTAGCTTCCCTGGGACAACATGTTCCCCTGACAGTGGTGCTCTGTCCCAGCATTGCTTGGAGAATGGGAGACAGGGAAAAGGCAAAGCCGATGTGAAAGGGCTCAGAAAGGCTAAGTGAAAAGAACCACACGAGGGCAGAGATGTCCCCACAAACTAAGACACAGCCCAGGCAAGCCTCAGTTCCGTATGCATTGTGCATACCGAGGTGCCAACCAGTGCACCTTCTCTTGGTGAGTCCAAGGAAGGAGACTGGAGTCTGTACATTGAACCCCTCACCCTGTGGATTTTCTCTTCTGCAGTCTCCAAAGATTTACCTGGCATCCCTGGAAAGGATGGCCCCAGTGGGCTTCCAGGCCTACCTTGTACCCTTGGTGTTCCTGGTCTCCCTGGACTACAAGGCCCACCAGGATTTGAAGGTCTGGAGAATAAAACTTGCATACTTAATCAACCTCGTGGTGAATTTGCCACTATGAGGTGGCTCAAAGGCTGGGCTCTCCCTCTTTCTATTCCATATACCCCACAGCCCATGAAGGGCAGTTCTACATTATTCTAGAAGGCAATAGACTAGTCTGAATCCTTCTCTGGGTTCTCTCCCCGTTTTTGTTTTGTTTTTTAGACAGTCTTGCTGCATATCTCTGTTTAGCTATGACAACTCACTATGTCATCCAGACCACCCTCTAACTCAATATGATTTTGGACCCAGGTCTCTGAGGTCAGAGGTCAAGTGCTGCCTATTAAGTACACTGCCTCCTGCTGTTCATTCATCTGTCAAGGGCTTTTAGCTTCAGTGGCCCAGAAACAGAAAGTGAGACAAAGAGCTGAGTGGAAGACACTATGTGAGAGGTGACCCCAGGAAGCCCTGATGGAAACATGGGGGAAGTGAATCAGACAGAGGAAGCCCTCCTACAAGGGCTGATGAGCAGGGTGAACTTCAGAGAACTGGGGTTTCATCCTGACTGGAGAGGTGCTGTAGAACTTACCTCCTAGCTACCCCACCTCAGGGGCTTAGGAAATGCTAACTCCTCTGTCAGTGTGGAAGGCTGTCCTTAGGGGCACTTAACTGTGGTACTTCTACCCTGCCCCCATTGAGGGTTAGCCAAGAATGTTCTTGAAAACCGCAGTGGCTAGTGGCACCTCATACTATTTTTAAAATATTTTATTTATTATTTTTATTTTATGTGTATGCGTGTATTGCCTGCATGCAGGTAAGTGCACCCATGTCATGCAATGCATGCAGAAGACAGAAGAGGCTGTCGGATCCCCTGGAACTGGAGTTACAGACAGTTGTTAGCTGCCATGTGGGTGCTGGGATTCAAACCCGGGTCTTCTGCAACAACAGTCAGTGTTCTTAACTGCTGAGCCATCTCTCCAGTCCCGATATACTATTTTTAATTAATTAATTTTAATTTTATCTGTATAAGTGTTTTGCCTGCATGTGTGGAAGCATGTGTGCCATGCTTGTGGAGGCCAGAAGAGGGCATCAGACACCATGGAACTGGAGTTACAGTTGACTGATAGCTGCCACATGGTGCTGGGAACTGAACCCAGGTCCTCTGCAAGAACTGTAAGAGCTCTTAAGTGATGAACCATCTCTCCAGCCCCAGATAATGTACTCTTTAAAATGGGAATTATGTGGGGGCTGGAGAGATAACTGAGTGGTTAAGAGTACTGGTTGCTCTTGCAGAGGACCTGGGTTTAGTTCCTAGCACCTATATGGTAGCTTACAACTGTCCGTAACTCCAGTTCCAGGGCAATATCATGCCCTCTTCTGATCTCCACAGGAATTGCACAACACCAGTGCTTACACAGATGCAGGCAATACATTCATAAACACAAAAATAAAAATAATAAAATTTTTAAAATTAAAAAACAGAAATTATGTAGCTGGGCATGTGTGAGTTGGAGTTCTAGCTCTACCACCTTCTAGCTGGGGCAACTCAGATCCTCGGTCTCCTCTTCATCTCCAGCATAGACTAATAATAGTGCCAATCTCCCAGGGTATCAGGAGCCAGTGACTTAACTCATATATGAGATGTGCCTTGTACAATGTTTAACACCAAGTGAATGGCTGACGACACCATCAGCTGCATCACACTCACTTTTATGTTCTCTCCTCAGGATCTCCAGGGCAGCAGGGCCCCTTTGGGAGGTCTGGAGTGCCTGGGCACAGTGTGAGAGTGGTCTACACACTGGTGAAGCACAGTCAGTCAGAACAGGTGCCCCTGTGCCCCATCGGGATGAGCCGGCTGTGGGTGGGTTACAGGTTGCTGTTCATGGAGGGACAGGAGAAAGCCCATAACCAGGATCTGGATAAGTACAGTCTCTGATGGCCTGCCTTTGCTACCTGTCCCTACAGGACTGAGAACTGACCTCTTTTCTTCTCCCAGCCATTTAGACCCATGGTTGAAGTGGGTTTTAAACACTGGAGTCAAATAGCCATTGATTCAAATACTGGACCTACCACTTTATAGCCATCGACCTGGGTGAATTATTGAATCTCTCCATGCTTCCACTTCCTCTTAATGAACAAAGCTAATTCTAGTACCTATCACACAGGGTGGTATAAGTATTTCGTGAGTCACCCAGTGTAAAATACACTTAAGCCTCTATTAAGAATTAGTGATTAGTAATAACAATAATAACATGACCTGCAGGGCAGTGATGATTACCCAAGGATTAATTGCATTAGCTGGAGGCATGCTAACTCTTAAATGTGGATTCCGCCTATTAAATGCTGCTTTTACAAAGCAGATTAATTAGGGCATGATTATTCACTTTATCAAAATAGACATACACAGGTGCTAAGGATCTGAGTACAACAGATTATGACTAGTAATAATCAGATACATATAGAATAGAGACACATGCGCCAACATCTCAGTGTTATTAGCAAAAACAATGAGACTTTCTGTAAGAAACAGTATATTTTTAAATGAACTGGAGATCTTTTTTAAAGGTTAAAAACTCATTCAATTTTATGTCTTACAGGGCTTATACTGAGTTCAATATTGTATAACTGTATTAATTCAACAGTGAACCTAAAAATTTTATAGCCACTTTTGAAAGAGATGTATCTTTGCTGTGGAAACTGTTATTGAGTATGTTAAAGCGGTAATGAAATGCTTCTTCTAAAAAAATTTAAAAATATATATAAAATTAAAAAATTCCCATCAGTCTTTAACTCCCTTGGTACATTTATGATAGGATTTTATCCACAGACTTCAGAATGTAGCAGAGTCACAGTACTGTGAGGATGGACCTGCCCTTCTCTGGGCAAGAATTTGGATAGAAATCCACACCATCAGCCAGTCCAGGCTGGTGACTCTGCCTCTTAGTCATCCATTACCTGTCCTTGCCCATCTTCTCGTCCTAGGATTTGCTGGCTCCTGCCTACCCCGCTTCAGCACCATGCCCTTCATCTACTGCAACATCAATGAAGTCTGCCACTATGCCAGACGCAATGATAAATCCTACTGGCTCTCCACTACTGCCCCCATTCCCATGATGCCTGTGGGCCAGACCCAGATTCCCCAATACATCAGCCGCTGCTCTGTATGTGAAGCACCCTCACAAGCTATTGCTGTGCACAGCCAGGACGTCACCATTCCACAGTGTCACAGTATAGTGACCACAGTCTGAGCCTGAAGGGCTTGGGGACCCCGACGGATAGAAATCAAGACACAGGAGATACAGAGGTCTATGTGCCGGTACATGTTTATTGTGAGCCAAACCAAGCTTATATAAGATCAGATCTGGAGTAACCAAGGAGTAACTAAGGGTACATCTCTAAACAGAAAGTAACCAAGGAGTAACCAAGGATACATTATGTTACCACCAAGAATACATTACTTCACCAACCAAAACTCACACAACGTTTACAGTATCCAAGATTTAGCTACATAATATTCATAATATCTTAGATATAAGGTGTATTGTTTGTGATTACTCTTAGCAACTACTATAATTTATTATTTCTATATAGAAACCAAGCTATCAGTGCTGAGAAACTCCAGTGCCCATAAACTGAAACAGAACTCTTTAGTTATGTTTCCAAGACTGCCAATTAATCAGGGAAGCATAGCCTGTCAACTCAGACCACAGAAGCAGAGAGCAGGGAAACTCCCAAGGTGGAAGCCTTCTTTCTCCAATGCTTAAGTCAAGGCAAGCTGAATAGCTCCCAACACCACAGTGCCCTCTGGACTGGCGCAGCCTCTGGATTGGGGACTCCTTCCTCATGGTGAGGCCCTGCACCACTCCTCCCTCAGTGGCAAAACTGAATCAGGGTGGGAGAGAAGAGCTGGCGGGGGGCTCCCACTGGTTCCTAGGTTCTTAGGTAGAAAACAGAGTTTAAAAGGAAGAGACATGCTTAAATTAAGCTTGGCTAAAGACACAAATGAAAGTTAGTTATGGTGTAGGGGAAGGATAGTATCCACTGTTCTGGGCTTAGAAAATATACGATTTAAGCCAAGGCCCTGCTCTATGTCAGCTTCAGTTTTGTCACTACCAAAGGAAGGATGCAGTATACAATGAACTGAGGGGATACTGAGGGGAAAGCTGTCCTCAGAGGCCAGCACATACCTATGCTGGTCAGGCTGAGCAGAGCATCCTCTACTATTCCAGCTACCCTCCCCAACCTGTCTGGCCTCGGCCATCTTTTCTTCAGAAGGTTCACATGAGGGCTTGCTGTGTTTCTATATCCTTATAACCATTGTTGCTCTCCATTTTCTGTGGGAAGCCAGTAGCCAGCCATGCTTTCTGTCTGACTAAGAAAGAGAATCCATAAGCTGAAGGAGGCCTTAAGTCATATGATCCTTTGAATACCTGAGGATGTTTCTTCTAATGAATTCAGGATGAGGGCTAGGACAGTTCTTGGTAAAATTCCAGTGTGGCACTCCCTGAAGTGCCCTGCCTAGCCAGAGCTTGTCAGTGACTCATCAGAGGTGAGACGGTGGGACCATCTTTGAAGACTTTCCCAGCCGCAATCTCCTTCGTATTGGTGCACTTACTGGAAGCATGGTGGTTTCTTACTATGCTCTGTCTTTCCACATTGGGAGTTTACCCCAGTGGAATTCAGGATCGCCTCGCCTGTTCTACCCCCCACTCAGACCAGGAAATGAGAAGAAAAAGCCCTCAAAGTTTCCACAAGAAACCAGCCAAAAGATATATACTAAATTCTCAAAGACAACTGCAAAAAAAGTGAAATGTAGGGGAAGAATTGAAAGGAAGCTCAAGACAGCAGCATCCCTTGGAATAAGAACCTTGCATAATTGCCACCCCCCCGACACACACGTACACACACACACACACACACACACACACACACACCCTGGCATTTATCAGAACAAGCCTGAGCCATCTACAAAGTTCCACGCTCTGAAAGTTCTACGAACTAACTTGGCACATGGCTCTCTGCCTATTCGCTAGCACAGAGGTACATGCAACCTCTTCCCATCTCCTGTGCTTCGAGCTAAGTTGGAGGGAGAAAGCTGGGAGTGTGGAGAGGAGAGGGTGGTCTGGGGAATACAGTGACTAGAGACTATTAGCAATGAGGGGCCCTAAAGGCAAATTCTGAGGGAGCCCTCTGAAGTTAGGCCTGAGACGTACACAGACCTAACACCCAGGCCAAATACACCCAGGCCTTCCTCTAGCCATCAAATAAACAGGTGCTATATGTCATCCCAAAGGGTGTGACACAGATTGCAAATAGAAATAGTTCTAGCATAGGGAACTTCTGGATGAAAACTGTGGAGGAACAGGGAATGTTATCCAAAGGCCAAAAATGTCAAAAGTATTTGGGTGTTCTTATCTAATCCCTAAAAGATTTCAGGGTTACCTCTTCAGAGAGCGGGGATGTTCCAGTAGCAAAAAGCCCCATGAAAGGAAGGAAAGAAGGAAGGAAGGAAGGAAGGAAGGAAGTCAGAAAAAAAGTGATGGGGAGATATGGGAGGTATTGAGGGGAGGGAGTGGGCGTGGATTTGATCAAAACACCTTATATGCATGTATGAAATTGTCAATAAAGTTTTTTTTTTTAAAGTTAACAAAAAAAGATTCAACCTTAAAAAAATAAGGAAGTATATCAGGGAATATTGCGTCCTCTTTCCTTACTGGACAGTGCACAGTAAAGGGCTTAAAGCACCATAATTCAGAAACTAAATCCATTCTTGCTTATATTTATTTGTGTAGTGGCAGCAAGATGACTCAGCAGATAAAGTCACTTGCCACCAAGCCTGATGACCTGAGTTTGATCCCTAGAATCAACATGGTAGAAGGTGAGAACCAACTCACACCCAAAATAGATAAGTGTAATAAAAATGTTTTTAAAGATTTATGTTGGGCTGGAGAGATGGCTCAGTGGTTAAGAGCACTGTCTGCTCTTGCAGAAGACTGGGGTTCAAATCCCAGCACCCACATGGCAGCTAACGACTGTTCATAATTCCAGTTCTAGGGGATCTAAAGTCCACTCTGTCCTCCATGGGCATTGCACAACACAGGTGCAATTACATACATGCAGACATAACACTCATATGCATAAAACAAAAATAAATTAATTAATAGGAAGCTGAATTTTCTTAATGGGCACAAATGGTTTCTAAAAAAATATTTTTAAAAAAGGTTTTGTCTCTATAGAAAACAGGAGTTGGTGAGGGTACACCTCACACAGCTGTGAAGTCAGTGCAATAGGAACAAATAAAATACGGGTTCAAATGTGGTTATGGACCATGTAACATGGTTAGGCCGGCACAAGGGAAATGGGAAGTGGGGCTTGTCCCACAGATTCTCTGGGGAGGGTGGGCAGTGCCCCGAAAGCCCAGGTTCGTCATGTTGACTAGAGGCTGAGTGATCCCAGGTCCAGAGCACTAGAGTGGGGTACATATTTCCCCCTGAAGCAGCAGGACACAGATCCCCTCCATGCTGGGTCCCAGCAGGCACAGCTCACACACCACGCTCCTGTCTTTCAGCACACTGCTGCTGGGGCAGAGGGCGGAGGCCAATCCCTGGTCTCCCCTGGCTCCTGCCTTGAGGATTTCTGGGCTACTCCTTTCATCAAATGCAGCGGTGCCTGAGGTACCTGCCACTACTTTGCCAACAAGTACAGTTTCTGGCTGACGACCATGGAGGAGAGGCAGCAGTTTGGGGAAGAACCTGTGTCTGAGACACTGAAGGCTGGGCAGCTGCACAGCAGGGTGAGCCGCTGCCAGGTGTGTATGAAAAGCCTATAAGGAGTCACCTGTCATGGTGCCCCGGTCTTCCCTATGCCCTCACAACAGTTACTTCACAAACCTGCACAGTCTGAGGAAGGAAGTCCTGAGCCCATTTGCCTGTCAAGCTGTACATTGGAGTCTCATTTGGACTGGCCTACTGGACACTGATCACCCATCCCCTCAAGTCCAACAAATGAGCCCACCGTGTTGGGATCTGCTCTCCTATTCCCATCAATCTGGTGCTACTGTTCCATTTGCTGTACTACCCTTTTCTAAGAGCACTAGGTCTCCTCGCTACCATGATCAGGAAGCTCCTCATAATAGCTACGTTACTTATGACCAGATGTCCACCACACATTAACTTAAACTAGAATTCAGTTTTCACATTAAAAGTATGTCTCCGGTTGAACAGTTTTAGACAGTGCTTAAGGACAGCCCTCGCTATCCAAGGCGGCCCACTGTGTCTAGGCAGGCAGTAGAGTTGGAAACAAGAAGCCAACCTGTACCCAGACAAGCTGTGATTCCTTTCAGAGTTTTTAAGACCACGCCCCATCTTGCCTAGGGAAGCCTGAAGGCCAGGAGCTGAGAGAGGCCTATAAATTTCATTTGGTCCTAGACAAATCACTGCCTCCTGGTGGACACGCTCCTCAGCCAGACAGAGGACTTGGCCTGGTCCAAAATAGAGCCAAGGGTGCAATAAATGTGGCCAAGCTCATATAAGGAAATGAGAACCACGTCTTTTTCTCCTTGGCCTGGGGTAGAGGGGCGAATAGGAATGGAAATGTCAATTTTGATTTTGACTCCAGGAACAAAGTGGTAAATCTATGCCCCCATTTCTCGGAAGTTCTTGTTTATTCCAAGAAAAATATCTGCATATATTTGCATGTTCATAAAACATTCCTGCTGAAGGGTAAACAAGAATAGCAGCAGGAGTTTTCAGGAATGGGAACTGACTTGGGAAGGAGAGCTATCTCACTGAATACCATTTTACATCTTTTGAATTTTCAACCTATGGAATATATTACCTGCTGCAGATAAAAGAAAAGAAAAGCATGGAACCTAAGCAAACAAGTGAAGTGGTCAGTGGTAATTTCTAAACGGCAGATACAGGCTCCTGTAGAATTCCGCTAGGGATGAAATGCAGACCAACATGAAACAGGAAGTTAAGGAGGCAGTAGAAAGAAAGCAGAAAAGTGCTGCTGGGAGTCGAGTGTCCTCCCAGGCAAGTGCTCAGCACGGCCAAACTGACGAATACATGCTTCAAAACTTACTAGTCCTAAAATTATTTGGAATTATATTTAATGGACAGATTAAATTTAACCATGTGAATAGTTCTTTCTAAATATGGTTATCAATCAAAACAAAGTGTAATTCAAATAGTTTATTCTAATTCCTCAAACAAAAACCCACAATTTAAGTGAGTCAGTGGTAAGGCTATGTCCAGCCCTCCACTTGCTTTTGTAAATCGTTTTATTAGATTACAGCCACACTCACTTACATGCATATTGTCTGCGGCTGCTTTTACAGAGTTGAATAATTATGACAGAGGCCACATGGCTGCAAAGACTAGACTATCAGTCCCTTTACAGAGAAAGATTGCTGGCCTCTGATTTAAGTATCATGATTTAAGTATCATTTAAGTGATCATGATTTCATTTAAGGATATGCTGACATCTAGCAAAATTATAAGGATGGACACTATGACCTATAAATAGGTTCCAAACAGGAAGACAATGAAGAAGTTTACATTTGACATCATTTCTTTGACAAATATTGTGATATAAATTATAATTATTTAAATTATGTACTCAAATAATTTAACAAGAGTATTTTCTCCCTGAGTCATCTCTTTTCTATTTGAGCAAGAAAGCAGATTGCCTCTTAGCATTCAGCCCAAAAGGATGAAAAAGAACAGTCTAACCATCTCTCATCTGCGGGTACTTGAAGCAAGATGGGAGTTTCTGTCTGTCTTCTAACATCCTCATTCTGGCCACTGAAGACCTGCCGAGGCTACGTAAGGCAAGCCAGGAAGCAGTGCACGCTGAATCCGTGTTCTCCTAGACTCCATGATTGTTCTGCTTCTTTTCAGGGAAGCATCGGTATCATTGATTTGTTGTTTGGTTTTGTTTCTGAAAAACTGTAATTGGGTCAGTCATGATTGCTATTGAGTTTGTATGCTGTTGGCATATCAGGCACTTGATGACTAGAAAAGTTTTATGTAATAAGTTCATGTTCTTTTGGTGCCAGATAGAAGACAGACCTCCAAATTGAGTTCTCACCATGCTACACGCTCAGGATCTCAAAATCTTCCTCCAGGTCAAAGTCTCCAGTTGTTCAGTCAAGTCTATGAATTCTGTCAGAATACAGAAATGAGAAAGTAAAAAAGCTTGATACTTGGGTTGATGATCTCAATCAAGATTACACTCAGTCGACGTAAGTCTTCATGCTTTAATCACTTTGCTAAACAAAGGCTTGTCTGCAGGAGACTTACAATTAGGACTATTAAGAAGTGGAAGAAATTCTCTTTAAGACTCAAAATAACTAGACCTATTTATGTAGGCCTGATCACAGCAGTCTGGCTTATGGCATGACCTTTGAGGTACCTTGTTTATCTGTCAGCCTGTTTGTGTGTGTGTGTGTGTGTGTGTGTGTGTGTGTGTGTGTGTCTGTTGAGACAAGGTCTTGGTATGTAGCCTAAGCTGGCCATGAGCCTCAGCATTCTGAATGACTGCAGGCATACACCACCGAGCTCAACCTCAAGGTACCTTTTGAATTACCCATGACCTCTGATTTGTTGTTCTGAAACAAACTGTAGTCATCTTGATTTTGCAAGGATAAACCCTTTGCACTGAGTTAATGGTCTCCTTTTACCATTCTTTAAAATTAGGAAATAACAAATCAGAAGATTAAAATAATCAGAAACGCCATTCCTTGATCAGCCTGAGTAGAAATTTCACTTTCTACAGGTATCATGAACCACAGTTACTTTTGTCTCAGAAAACAGTTGTTACATGTGGGCCTGCTGGCCAAGACCCCACAAAAGCAGCTTACCTGCCCCTGTGGTTGTCACTTCTGGTTTGGCTGGAGTTACAAAGGGAGGCCAGTGTGATGGATGCTTCTGAACTAATTCGAACATCCTCAAATTCTCCTTCAAAATTTCCTGGGCCGGCAGAGAAACAGTTGTAAACACTGCAGAATCACCACACTTCTATCATGACCTCAAATCCTGCCAGTAGCCAAGTAGTTGACAGGTAGGAAAAAAAGGCCTGGCAAATACACCCATCCTCTACTTGAACCACCTAAAACCCTCAGCTGACTTCAATTCTACATCCATCTGACCAGGCAGGAAGTAGCCTGATGAAGCCCAGCATCAACTGCCCCAGTCATAGGGCTTAGGAACTGGGCTAGGAACACAGGTTTACCTCAACCCAGGGGTGAAATGTTCCAAAGAAATGTCATTTAATCAAATTAAATATACCTCAAAAGAATTCTCGAGCACCCTGACATGCCTTCAGGTATATGTAGCCCAAAATTTAAGATACATATCCTAGTTTAAATGGTACAGTTATCATAAAATTGTCATTCTGTCTTAAATACCGATTGAGCTTTGCTGCATTCTGAAATATGAGAACTGTCTTTAAAAATAATTCTCTTGGGGTTGGAGAGATGACTCAGTGGTTAAGAGCACCCAGGTTCAGTTCCTTACACCCACATAGGGCATCTCAGAACTGCCTGTAACTCCAGCTCTGGAGCATCTGATGCTCTCTTCTGGCTCAATAGGTACCTGCATATACATGGAATACATTCGCATAGACACAAATGTACACATAAATAAAAATTATAAAAATAAGCCAGACATAGTGGTGCACACCTTTAACTCCAGCACTCAGGAAGCAGAGATAGACATGGGATCTCTATGAGGTCAAGGCCAGCCTGGTCTACATAGTGAGTTCAAGCCATTTGAGGCTACTGAGGGACCCTGTCTGAAAAAAACAATAGTAAAGATAAAGTGGACTAACTAGACCACGCAAGCAAAGATTATGAAAAATTTAAGAAATCACAAGAATGGAATATGCAGGAATTGTGTGACACCATAAAAAGACCAAACTTACAAAT